TGGGGCTGCCTCAGACTCACAGTTTGCATGAATGAAGAAGATCATGAAAAGCACTAATGCAGCCTGTGAAATTTGAAAATCACAACAAAAAAAGGGAGAAAATATGGCCATTTAAAGGCTAAAGATTTATTTTGGTTTGAAGACATCTCACATCTGTTTAGAGCAGCAATAAAAAGCTGATACCCCTCTTCATGGACAAACAGAGCTATAACTTCATTGGCAAAGGGTCAACTGTGACAACTAGATGTGACCCAGCTGCAATTACTCTCTGCCTCTGCAAGTCTCGCAGGAAGGGAGGAGGGAGCACATTTTTTTGGAGAGACCCCAGTATGATAAGTCACCTTCTGGGGATGAGACATTATTTACTCCCTGCTTGCACCAAGCAACTTCTCATATGCGTCTCCATATGTCTTCTCGTGTGAGATATCTGGAAAGTTTTTATCATGAGGAAGTCGAGTGAAAGCATGTGTGGGCCCTGACCAGGTGTGTAGAGCACAGAGACCTCAGGCCTTCTCCATCTTTCACTTTGCTATAACCACACCACCTTTGCTATAACCACACCACCCAGACTCGCTCTGACTCTGCTCTCTCTCAGTCTGCAGGTACTGAGACCAATAAAAGACAGTCTGACAGCTACCAGAAAGGCTCATGTGCAATATGGCTTATTCTGTTATTCATATGGTTATATCAACACAATTTGTGCGTCCTTCCTGGTGTTTCTTTCTTGGACATGTAAAGAAATCATGTTACTTGGCTTTGAGAACAACAAAAAAAACTTCTCTGATATCCAAATGACTCTTCATTGTCTTTAACTGGACATTAAAAAAAAGCATGCATCATAAAACTTGATTGTCGCTACGCAGTTGAAAATCTGCCACAGACGTTAGTTTTAAGAACTAAATAAATCATGTCTCAATGATTCCTTATTTTGAAAAGCATCACACTACTCATCTGGGAAATGTAATACATCCAAAAATCTAGCAACTAGAAAAACATGTGACTCAAAATGGCGTGGTTTATGTTTACTCTGGGCCTAGCTGCCTCTAAAAAAAATGGCCAAAAGGGATATATTCGTTAAGAAAACTTCGATTAAAACGTGTATGAAAAGCAGAATAAAACATTCAACAAGCTTGGTTTTGGGTATGCTGCCTGCTAATTTCATTTGGTGAACCGCACCTTTCACGAGGCGCTGGCTCGAGAGACGGACAGGAGATCGAGGAGCTAATTGAATAATTGAACAAACGCATTAATGAATGGTGGAGCGCTAGTTGGTTAACTAACTTACCTCTGAATAATGTGTTTCTTACGGGGCCACTCGGGCCACGCTTGATGGATGGCCTTACAGAAGCCGGGTCAATTAGCCAGACTGGGTTTCCCTCCATGTCGGCAGCAGACAGCAGCGCGAGAGCTCCACCTCTGTCACGCGGACGGGCTGTAATTAATCACCGGTGTGGGGCCTTCTCACCTCACACAGGCGCGCGCACAAACAGCCAATAAATGCGTTTGGCCTAAATAACAAACCCCACTCCTCTAATCTGGCTAATTGTCAATATTATACCCAGAGGAGGAGAAAGATCGTGACATAGAAAGTATTTACTACAGACACAAATGTATATCTTACTCTCTGTATACTCTGCATTATGCATATTTTATAAGGAGAATCCTGATGTTAGGCATGTTTGCTAACAAGGCAGACCTGAGGAATAAACACAAAGTTAAACCATAAGAGACAGATAAACTATAGTATGGCATTGTAGGCCTACAGTAGGCTATAGTGCAGAATATAGTTGAGTATAGCATAGTAGGATATTGTATTGTATGATATAGCACATGCTAGCATAGGATAGCATGTAGTAGTGGAAAGTAAATTAGTACATTTGCTGAAGTACTGTAAGTTCTATGTTGTTATACTTGTACTTTACTTGAGTATTTCAATGTATTGCTTCTTTATACTTATACTCTCCACTCAAAGTTACCAGCTACATTGTCTAAATAAAAAAAAAGCTACAACATAGAATGATCTTACATGTATTTGTAAGCAATAAGAATACATTACAATGTAATCTTCTTTAATAATATAATGCTTTTTACCTTCAAAACAGCTATTGTGCATAAGGGGTACTTGTATCTTTGATACTTTACATGTAGCTAACAATACTTCTATACTTCTACTTAAGTAATTCAGGACTTTCACATTTAATGGAATTTTTAAACCAAAGTATTTCTACTTTTACAAAAGTAAAGGGTATACCTTTTCCCCCTCTGATGCCTGAAGTATATAAACAAAAACTATCAAATGGGTGAAAACTGCCTTTGTTTTAAAATTATGTTTAAAACAGACAACAGATATAATCAATGTTGTTTTCATCTTATGCATGAATACAGGACTAAAATCAAATATGTCTAATTTTGATTGAATCCATGCAACATACTGAATGTCTTTCTGTGTCTTAACTATCTACGTATATCAAGGCTACATAAAATCAATTTGATAAACGACACTTTAAATCTACCTAAATCCTAAATATTTAATGCATTTAATATTATTAAACTTGCTAGGTATACAGTTTTTAATGCAAGATTAGAAACAAGTGGACACGTCATGACTTTTCAAATGTATTCACCTCAGAAGCATAATTTGAGTTACACATCTCACCCCTTGCAGCTGTTACTGTGCAGTTCTGTCTCTCCCTCACACAAACACACACAGGTAAACAGAGCACAGATTGAGAGGCAGGGACAGAGACGTCACTCCATGTTCACAGAACACACTTCTGTGGCCTGGACAAAAGCAGTCTGACAGATGAGCTTTATGTTTGGGGGGGGAGCTATGTGTTGCTGCCTGTGCTTCTGAGTCTGCGCGTGTGTGTGTGTGTGTGTGTGTGTGTGTGTGTGTGTGTGTGTGTGTGTGTGTGTGTGTGTGTGTGTGTGTGTGTGTGTGTGTGTGTGTGTGTGTGTGTGTCCTCATGCATATGTGCATGCATGCATGTCTGAGCGTGTGTGTGCACCTATACGTGTATGTGCTTTTGTGTGTGTGTGTGTGTGTGTGTGTGTGTGTGTGTGTGTGTGTGTGTGTGTGTGTAGTGTAGTGTACACAGTGTGTGTGTGTGTGTGTGTGTGTGTGTAGTGTATGTAGTGTACAGTGTGTAGTGTAGTGTACTGTATGTATGTAGTGTACAGTGTGTGTACAGTGTGGTGTGTGTATTTTGTTGGGGGGGGTGGTCTCATGGGGCAGCTCTGTGTCTGTCCCATCTGCCACCCCACTCTACTGACACCCAAGGGAATGGCAGCAAGGGTGGGGGACTCATTTTGGAAAAAGGAATCGGGGTCCAGTGGTCTAATGGGCAACAATGCAGGTTTTACGGACGGGCCAAAGGCTGGGTGTGTGGAAGCCAATCTCCCAATCTATTTGAAAAACAGTGGGCCACCCCTGTCAAGCTCTGCCTCTGTATGCCTAATAAGGCACGCACACCACTTAAATTGTACCTCAAATGAGAAAGTGTATTTTATACACACCAACGTTGCATACACCCGGGGCTAATGTCCGCCTAATGCATGACCATGCTGTGGCCGGAGGGCTAATTGGGTATATAAACACAAACACATCCCTTGAGAGGCCAAAAGGGAAGGGTCTATTTTGTGCTTTATGCTCCTTGTATTGTGAGGAAGCCAATACTGTAACCTAAACATGGAGGCTCATCAGTACTTAAGCAGTATCGATAATGAAAGATGACAAGGTGTTTGCTCTCATATGCCCAGCAGCTAGATGCTCCTTTGAAGCTGTGCACACAGTGTGATGTGGAACGACTTGGTGGCAGGTGGCTTCTCATCCTGTCTTAATCCAAAATGTGATCAGAAGACAGTCAATGGGACTGCAGCAGCCTCACAACAGCAGCACAAAACAGTCATGTGGGAAGGAGAAGCATATGGCTCTTGCACCACTGGGCAGAAGGAGAACTCAGCAAGATGAATGCTGAGGTGCCGGGAACAAAGCTGACTTTAACTTGTCAAATTAACAGCAAATCAAAAGAGAGAAAGAGAGAGAGAAAGAGATGAGGATGAGGAAGAAGATGCAGCAGCCGGAGTTTTTTTTGACAGGTGCCACTTGATGTTAACAAAGAAAGAACAGAGAGAAACAGTGACTTGCTGCTGAGGTTAGATCACAGAGAGGGTCATTGCTGGTATGAAGTCCACATCTCTCTCACTGTCTCTGAGCTGTTGATACACTGTTTGTACATACATGTATCATACAGCACACACACACACACACACACACACACACACACACACACACACACACACACACACACACACACAGAGAGAGAGAGACGTGCATCTACTTGGTGCTACCCTGCCCCCTCACTGCTTTGAGCGCTATGTTAATGAAACAGTTGCTGTTTCCTGGCATAACATTAATTACCCGATCAAAATAGAGTGGGTAATTAACTGCCCTTCTTTACCAGTGCTAATTACATTAGCACAGAAGGGCCATTTCAGGGGAGCAAAAGAGAGGAGAGAAAGAAAGACGGGATGAAGCAGTACCAAACAAAGACCGGATAAAAAAGGCAGTGATGAGGCACATGTCTAGGTGTGTGTGTGCGTGTGTTTTAACAGAGAGGAGGAGGAAGCTTTGGAGGGAGACTCATGTGGTTCTCACTCGGGCCCCAGGAGGCTCGGTCCTCGGAGAAAAGCAGGCTTATTGAAGAGGAGAGAGATGGGGGGTGTTGTTGTTTATCTTGACATGCTCTACTCAGTCTTTAACGCTCGCATCACAATTAAGATGCTGCGGCTCATCAGCTATGTATACAAAACAGTTTTGCAAGCTGCACAAGCTCACAGGTGACGGGCACAAAAATAGATCCTGAGATGTGGTTTCTTGTAGGAAAATCTTAATGTCCACTAAATAGTCAGATAATAGTGTGTGTGGAAATATGTGTGAGTCTTTGTAAAAAGAAGCCACCAAGACAATCCTCAATTTTCTTATTTGATTTATTTGGAGCACAAAATATAATTACACCTTAAGATATACAAATCACATTTGAACCATTTTTTGTACCGTTTCAGAGAAAGATGGCTTCAAAAAACATAATATTAAATTGCTAATATTTTTTTAAATAAATAAAATTAACCAAACTCTAAAAACAAATTTGCAAATGTCATCCACTCTTTGTGTTCTTTGTTTTCACGTCCTGAGAATGAAGTTTGTGTTTTGATGACAGAAATGAATGAGTAAGACCAGCATGGTATGGATTAATGAACACCTAATACTTTTGAGCAGTTTGTGCTTTTATTTACTGTACTGCATAGAGACTATAGACATGTACTGGGTTGAGACATTTAAAATGAAACAGTAAAATCTATGAGTTGTGAAAATATAAATAAAGAAAGTAAAGTGGATTGAAATAATATCAGGGCACTGGTGTGACAAAGCATGCATTATAAGTGAAATAAAAAAGGATAAGGCTAACTATAACATGTTTCCTTTACACAAGGACAATAACCTTCTTTAAATCTGGGCATAACATTTAGATGTTGTTGTGCAAGAAGAAGACGTTTTTATTCCAAGAAAGTGTGTCAGAGTTTATTTTCTCCACCACAGAATCAATTCAAAATGATAATTTAGCAAATTAATTAGCAGTTGGTGAGAACTTCATTTGGAAAAAGATCACTTATAAAAACACGTTTATATTATTCCCTAAACTACCTATAATAAGTTAAATTGCTTGTTCTTAAATAAATCAATATATGAATTCCTTTAGTAATAACCCTTGAGACAAAGAGTTCTCCCTTGTAAAACCGTAGAGATCAGAAACAAAAAATAAAGGGTCTATTTTTCTGGAATGTAAATCGTCTTTGAAAAGTCTACTACAGAAAAACCTCTCGCTAACTCACAGACAGTGTACACACATGCCATTTCAGGTGTCCATACACAGACAAATAGCACCCTGCTTCTTGGAGCTGCAACATTACATCAGAATAGTCCGTCAGTGCTCTCACAGCGCGTCCTGTAGGTCTCTGGCCGAGGTTTGGGCAGGTTGTTGGAAAAAATCAGATGCTGCATGTGACAGCGGGCCAGAGGTAAATACAGGTGCTGTTTGAGTTCTCCTTTTGTTCCCTTTCAAAATGCAGACGCTTCATGATACACACATACATGGTCCGGCTGCAGCTAAGGAGCTTTGTCTCTAGTTAATGTGCTCGGCCTCTGGAGTCGATGGCTGGTCTTTGGACATTTTGTACCTCGTCCCGTTAATCCAGCTGGATGGAGAAGGGACTAAGAAATGGCAGGGGGAGGCTGCGGAGGGACAGTTATACATGGTCGCTAGGGATCAATTCTCCTTTCTCCCTTCCCTCTTGCCAAAAGATGGGCTAAGTGAAGCAGTGGTCTGGGGTAGATTTGGGAGGGTGCTTTGCTACATCAAGGGAACAACCAGGCCCGTCATCGCTGGAGAGAAAAAAATATACAAAATCTATGATTCTAATCAATCAGGTCTTGCATTATTGAACATCCAGCAACTTTTTTCTGTCTTGTTCAGTCAAAGCTTTGCGAGTGGTTAGTACAAGGGGGTTAGACTGCATTCGTGAGTTCAGACAGGGGGGTCAGATAGTGAGTCGGATGGCTACCTCTGAAGCTGTTCCCCCCTGAGGCGGGGCAGGCAGGGGAGGGGGAGCCCTGGGGCCTGAGGACGGGAGCAAAAGCACTCTTCTGTTTAGCAGCAGACGGGAAGGAGGAGAAAGGCAAGAGAGACGATGAAGAGCTGGAGCTTCCTGGTATAGTGGGGCTGGAGGGCATTACTGCAAAAGAGAGAGCAACGATTAGTCTCACGTTTGAATATCAGAGTGGACTCAGAAATATATAGATCAGGATAAGGTCTTACTGTAGGGAGAGCCTGTGGGGGAGGCACTGCTGAAACCAGGAGAGCCAGGCACTCCTAGACTGGTCATGGGAACCGTCCCATAGCCTCCGGTCATCCCTCCGCCGCCATAGCCTGACTGCTGAGGGGTGGAGGCTGATGGGTAACCCCTTGGAGATAAGCTGCTGGAATTTCTAATGTAACCTGGAGGAATAATATAAAGTTCAGGTCAGTTCTGAGCTTCATTAGTGGAAGAAAAACCTTTATGATTTATAGTATGTCTCTTTTTGCTTACCTTGGCTGCTTTGCCCGTGATCTCCAATGCTGACGCCTAACTGAGAAGGATAGGAGCCCAGGCCCATGACGCTGCCGTGAGCCGGGGAGCTGGGCAGCGCCTGCAGCTGGCTGTGAGGACGGGGAACACTGTAGAGCGCCTCGGCGATGTCCGCGGCGCGCTTCAGGAGCATGTCCTACAGGAGATACAACAACACAGGGAATTAGCAAAGGTTTGCAGAGTCATGGACCATGAAGAGGCCAGGTGATGTTCTTTTGAAAATCCCTAAAGGTGAGTATTTCCAAGAAGACCAATCAACTTTTTGGCAGCTGTCAAATCTCAAATGTTTAAGCTTCTTGACACTCAGAGCACTGAAAATGGTATCATCGATTCAGATCTGTATTATCTTGCTGAAATTAAGCCCTCTCATTATTCACTCTGATGGAGTACCTATCTCCAACAGGTTTAAAATCCCTGCAAGTGAACTTAAATGAATGGAAAACTAGTGGCTTCATGGAAAGTAGGACGCCATATTTTTTTTTAAGAAATGCATTCTTTGAAAAATGGTCACCAGCAATGCAGTGTATATACAATAAATACTGAAAGGGCAAAAACATGCACTTGTGGTTTTTTGAATATCTGCATGTTTTATGTATATATTTAAGATATTGTATCAAAGTTTCAGCTGTTTACCTGATTACTGTGTGGATTTCCATAAAGGGCCTCTACAAGATCTGCTGCTCTCTTCAGGAGGATCTCCTGCAAACAACATAACTTATAACATTAATATCAAGCTGTTTAAGGAGTCTAGCATAAATAGTGTCTTGAGAGATCATCAGGATGTATTTCCTATGAGAGTCTCTAACCTTGGCCAGTTTGTCTGGATCACCAGGATGTCGAGGAATGACCTTTTGAAGGCGCTGGAAACCGTAATCTATAGTTGGCTCATTTAGGGCTGAAATACAATAAAAAACAAACACATTTTGAAAATCAAATCTGCAGTGAAGTTGATTCAAATGTCATGCTCAAAGACCCTGAAACAGTTAGGAATCTGTGAGGTCTAAACAAATACAGTGTGTTTTCTAAATACCTGTGTAGATGAAGCGTCCAGGTGCTCCCTTGCAGAACTGTTTGGATTTATAAGACAGTGTGACCTCAACGACCCCTGGGATGTGTCGAGGAGGAGTCTGGACACGGATAGCGTGCGGCGTGATCAGCTAAGAAAAAGAAAACAGCAAAGTTATTACCCCCCGTGCCTTGTAAATATTTAGGCTAACATAACACTGTGAAAAAAAAGATTAATTTGTGTAGACTTCCCATAAATCATCTAAATAATGAGACAAGCCATATGCTATATATATCATTTCAAAATATGCTTCAGACTGTACCATCATTAGTGAGATGTTTTGGAGACAATTCCTACCTCACTCCACACGAGCATGCTGCCAAACACCACCTGCAGCCCGTCAAAGAAGTTCTCCCCGATGACGATGACCATCGCCCCGCCGGTGGTCCAGCCCTCACTGGGACTGATGGCTTTGATGCAGGGGGTGGCTGCACAGGAGAGCAAAGCAAGAGTTATTACAAGAGTTTTAATGTAGGACGAGCACCAAATGAAACATGAGTGGAAAGAGCATGCTTAATTTGTTTCAGTGGGAATGTGTGGAAAGTTCTTTAAAGTTAAAAGCTAATTTAATGGCTACCCTCATATTATCTGGGTGTTTTTTTTTATACATCAATAACTTCATAGCGTGGTTAATCCATTACAAATATAGATTACATGAGCTGGAATCATATAGAACTGTAAAGAAGCTGAAATATCATGTCCATATGCACAGTGATGTAAAAGTTGTTTTGTTAAATAATAATTATTGATACAAAAATGTGTAAGGGGTATTATAATGTTGAGGCTGGCTGCTGTTGAGGTATTCTTAACTACTTTAATTTCTACTGGGTAGTTATTTGAATTATAGCAGTACAGTTTTAAATATAGCAACTAGCTAAAAGTGTAAATGTAATAAAAAAGAACATCTTTATGAAATGATGTATTAAATAGTTAATTCACTTTTCACAGTACTCTTCAAAAAGGCAAATGGGTTAGCGTGTGTTTTCTCATTGAGACAAAAATGTGAAATGTTGACTTATAAGTGGAGATGGATCAGCTTTGCTTTATGTGAAGTCAAGTATTTCACTGATACAGTAATGACCTCAGTTAATGACCTCAGTAGCACCACTGGTTATGTTTTGATGTATGACGGTGATTATAAGTGGACATTAAGCATCATCAGTACCTGCTGCTACAGTTAATACTATGTTTCTAAAAGTGATTCATGGTAGTAGACATGTGTGAGAACAGATAGATGTGGTGTGACAGAGTGTTTTAGTGTCTCACCATATTCCATTGAATTCTCTGCAGACTCGCCTGGCTCCAACTTGCGGGCCCTCCGGCCGTGTTTCGAGTTGTTGTGGACGAACATGTTGTCTGACACTGCCAGGATGTGGCCGTCTACACTCACAGTGCTGGACAAGACCACCTGAAAGAAGACAGGAGGAAGATACATGAGTGTGTGTGCACAACTGAGACAGCACGCTGCGAGTCACACTCTCCGGTTACAACAGCAAAATCCCTGAGCGACAATTTGTTTCTGGTATGCAGGTGATAGTAATATTTCTCAATAGGTAATGTGACATCCCTGGGATCTTCACAATATGTCTGCATGCTGGTGATGACACTGCTCATACACCCCTCCACTCCTCCATCAGGTCTCCATATGGCCTCCCACTGCTTCGAGCCTAACTTTTTGATTCAAACAGCATGCAGCAGGCCCATCGCTGTCTCCTCCTGATCCTTCAATGACACCAAACATATGGACCAGATCTCCCATTTTCGCCGGCCGTTAAAGCAGAGGATGATATATTGTGGCCCTAATTTGATTTTCTGGCCGCAGCATGTGTGTCCCTTTCCACATCTGCCTTGCATGGATGACACATACAATTAATGAGAGGATACTTGAGGGGTTTTTCCGAAGTGATGCTTTATAAGTGTTAATACGTTTCTTTAAAAAAGAGTTAGCGGGAATGGGCCTTAGTGAGAAAAAGTGATTTCCAATTGTCAGTAAATAGAACTATTTATAACGTGCTTTTCTTAAATAAAATCGGACTGTTGAGATAAAACCGTGCTCTCCCTTCGAAATAAACACATGGCAGTAATTTTGCAGGTGAAGGAACACGAGAAAGAAAAGGAGAAAAAAGCATATGTGCTATAGGCGGTGGAAAGGGAGGGGAACCCTAAAGGAAAATAACTGTAAATTATCGATCAAGCAGCAGACTCCTGTCCAGCCCTGATCACCTTTTAACCCAGAGATGAGAGTCTTGGAGCGCCTGCATGCTCATAACTTCTCAGCATGTGTCACATCCCAGGAGTTAAAGCAAACACGGTGAAAGACAGAGGGAGCACGGAGAAGGGAAAGGGATGGAGGTTTGGCTGGGAGAAGGAGAATGCCAGACAGGGGCCGCTGGTGCTGAAGGACGGCAGAGGAAGTGGGCCGGGAGAGTCCCCTGTGACCACTTCCTGGGTCACGGAGCATGACCTCCTCCATCTGGAGCCAATCACTCAATTCCTGACAACTTCCTGAAACACCTCAACCTATTTCCTGCACCCCAACGACCAAGTCTCCCACATATCTGACTCGTCTAGTTTGTCTTTCCGTCCCTCTGACTCCTTATTGATTTTTAACTTTCACCTCTAACTCCTTACATTGTCTTCCGGTTCTATAAGAGCTTTGCTTTAGATGTGAACGCTACCTATAACGGACAAGAAATTGATTGTTGAATAATACATTTAAGATGGAAGGGCATGAAGGGGGTATGTTTTGCTATACTGCAAACTATATTTCTTTAAAAGTGGAGTCCTATACTCAGTCCGATATACCATCCCTCTTCCCACTCAAGCACATGCATTTTCGTACCTGAAATCTCCTCATGTCCCTTGGGTTTCCCGCCGTCTTCAGACAATTCTGGTTGCATTTCAGGAAAAACTTCAAGAAAAACCTGCAAAGGTAAATAAGAGGACACACGTTTGTACATCAGAAACAAAACAAAAGCACATGAAAGAATTATGTACAGGATTGTTTGCTACCTTTCCACACACTGGCAGTCAAAGAAGACATTCATTATTTTTGTATCTTGTGGATGGTGTGTGTGTGTGTGTGTGTGTGTGTGTGTGTGTGTGTGTGTGTGTGTGTGTGTGTGTGTGTGTGTGTGTGTGTGTGTGTGTGTGTGTGTGTATCTACATGATTACAGCTCTGACATCAATGCCAGCTGTTTAGCTTAGAATTAGAGTCAATGTTATTACACTTTAAATCAAGGGATGAGAATTTGAAGCACAGTCCGGTGAAAAGCGCTGCTGTGTTTCAAAGTAAACTGGAGACAGTGATGTATGCCAGGGGACTCGGGGGACTGTGGTATCCCGCAATGCCGTAGTTGAACCCCCACATGGGAATGGCCAGGAAATGAAGTGGAGACAACTACAGAGAAAGTGAAATGAGGAGGTGGAAAGAGGAAGGTATTGATAGAAGCACATGCAGGCACTGGTATGGACATGCATTTTGTTTTCAAGTATATGTGTCTCATTATGTATGTGAGTGTACTTTTGAGGGTGATAGGCTGTGGAGACTGAGAGAAGCTGAGAGAAAGCGGGGCGCTGATAGCCTCTGCTACACCGAAGAAAAAACGGAGAGAAAGGTGGAATAAATGGGAGAGAGATGGAGACTATACGGCGAGAGAGACTCCAAATCCCAGGTGTGCACAGCTCGGCAACACAGCCCGCTGCCATGGCAACGCAGCTCTGCCGCAATCCCAAAGTCCCAACGCTGAGAGGCAAGACAGGGATGGGAAAGAGTCGGAAACAACAAGCACATTCCATCACTGAAATGTAGCCAGGAGCCAGGCTTGGCAATGTGTGATGCAGAGATTTATATAAAAAGGGCCTCTTACATATGTATCTTACAATAGGAAGTATTTTTAATTCACTGTACAGCATTTAATTTAACATGCTGTTTTTAGCTCATCTTATTCTATTGTACTTGCACATAAGTCCTGCAACATTCTCTTGCACCATTTTATTCCTACTCTCTTTATTCTTGCACTATTTGTATTGCTTTCTTATTTGTTTTATGTATTCTATATATTTATGTTGCATTGTTGGATGAGCCTTTGACTTTCCATAGCATATCTACACTGTGGCTGTGTTGAACCTTTGAGGTGCAAACCAGGCTGAGAAGATCCACACAAATCTCACGCTGAAGAGATATTAGGCAGAAGATGTGTATTAAATCGAAAGAAAAGAAAAATGAGCCACAAAGCGATGAGGCACTGTGACAGAATTATGGCAATTGGCAAATAAATAGCCCTCAAACCAGATGTCCACTTCTCTCTGTGCACAAAACACAACTCTGACGTGCCAATGGAAAACACATCCATACATGTTCCAATTAAACAAACAACAACAGAGCTGGAGAAAAAGGCTGCAGAGGGAGGCAGTGGTTTTGGGCTACATGGTTAGCTCCAATGCCACCCACACTCTCTGCAAATATAAGTCATCTTAATGGAGAGCGGTTGTTAGGAGAGGAACTTCATATTGGCCCCACAGCCCAGAACCCTCCCATCGAATACTAATCTCTCCCTCATTCTGTCAGCTTTTCTCCCATCACTCGCTCCACCTTCCTCCCTTGTGAACAGGACCTGGCTTTAAACTAGAACTCAGTTCCAACAGTGTGTCCAATATTTCTTGATTTGAGCTATTTCATTGGAGGACAATCAATATTGTTGTTGGCAGAGGGCGGTTATAATTTATCAGCGAGCGCTCGGACCTCCAAACTTAACCTCAGTTTTGGTTGGAAATATGTTAAAGTGCACATTTGTGCCTCTCCTATTTCCTTCTTTCTTTTCTTTCCTCATCAGTCTGACTTTTAACGTCCTTCCATACATTTGCTCGTTATACACCCTGTCAGTATTAGTTTGCCTCGATTTTAAATCAGAATATATACACTGCAGGAAACGTACAGTTTGTTTCCTTCCTCTGAAAAGGGACCACAGTCAGAAGTGTTCTGTTTCATTTTACTGCCTCCGTTGCTTGTATGTTTTATCCTGGGCAGTGGTTCATACATTATGGCTCCTTTTTAGAGGCTATAGCCTTCATTTACAAGTTGAGGTTAGTCAACACAGGGTTTCACATGTGTGGTTTAATACCTTCGTCCATGGTCTGGCTGTGGTTTAGCCACAAGCGTTTCCTCGCCATTTGCTTCTCGGCCACTACATTTTAATCTAACCAGCAGTCATCATTCATTTGACTGACGGACATGATCAAACTTGCAGAGATGCCTCGGAGAGCTAACATCGCAACCCTAATTGAGAGATTGTCTACATCCATCTGAGGCTTTGTGCACTTTTTGAGGGTTCTTGACCTTGTTTCTTGACTTCTTCTCATCATTCCTTGTTTAGATGACACCAGATGCCTCACACACACAGAAACACACATTCACATGCATGCATGCACACTCTAATACACAGACACCCCCACCTTTGCACCCCTCCCAAAAACCCATTGAGTCAACTTTTCACCCCCCTCAGTTCGGACGCACACAGCTGCAAATGCTGAAATTAAAGCGAGACATTGACGCATATATTAGCATGCATTAGCCGCTTCCCCCTGCCCACTTAACATGCAAATCTCCCAGCACCGTCGCCTCGCACCTTCTGCCACACATTCATTTGCTGAATTATAATTAGACTAATCTTGCATAATTAATAAGAAGTCGAGGACCCTCTGTTTTTTTATCCCCACCCTCTATTGTGGTTGCAAAAGTTTAATATTGCTGTTGTTTGTTTTTGTTTTGGTAATGTAATACACCCACACACCTCCCCATCCAGAGGGAAGATATGAGGAGAACATGCAAAGAATTGGAGGTGATTTTCATGTCACAGGGAAATTGCAGAAAAAGGGAATTTTCCAAGAACTCCATTAGCTTAAGTGTTTCATATTTAATGTGTGCCTGTTCTTTACATACCTTATACTGTTTGAAGCAGGTGTAAAATAGCGATTATGTTTGATTAAGACACTGTAAGGTGAGTAATAAGTAACAAGTGGCAAATTAAGCCAATGGGAAACATGTTTAAACTAATAAACTGTTATAAGTCTGTAATGATAATGAATTTTGTCAATTTAGTAAAGCAAAACTATGATAATGAAACTCATTCTCCAATAACTGAAAAGTGCATTAAATAACTAACAAATGTGACACTTTAACATGATAAGAGCTAACTCCTCAGGATTTGGTTGTTTGCAATGAATGACATATTTAGGAATTAAATGAATTTGACAGTGTGGCCAGGAATGGAGACAACGTTTTCTCTGCCGCAACATCTACCTCCAAAGACACACTTAAGACAGGAAACACAAACAAAACAAAGACCCACGTCTTAAACCTCGGGATCCATTTCCATTGTGGCTCCATGGGGAGTATGTTTTTTTTATTCTCTGTCTTCACTTCTGCATCTCTGTCAAGGCCTCCAATCCCTTTTGTCTGCATCTGTTTCAGTTCCCAAGACTAAACACAGGCCTCTCAGTGAAAGGCAGACATCCCAAAGGTGACAAAATGCTTAACTTAAACTATTTCAACTTCCAATCAGCACGTCACGACACTAAAGATAAAAACAGCAATGCAGTTTTTGTAAATATTTCACCCCTCAGTGTGGACCCTCGGTTTCACGTTTCTCAGTCCGTTGGGACATCTGTTACACATAAGTGTTACACATTGGGCTATACATATGGCCTTAATCATGCAATGGGCACCTAAGCAGCACAGGACCCCTAACAAAAATGTTCATAGGCATTCATCAGCACTAATCACTGTTGACATAAACTGCCTTTTCACATAGACATAAAACACATCGCCCTCTGTGCTGATTGTAAATGAAGGTTTACTGGTAGCAGCGGCTCTTGAAGAATGGGACGCATGAGTCTTTAACACAGAGTTCAAGTTAGTTAGCTATGAAACTTTCTCCACTCATATTTTGCCTTCTTTTAGGTTACTGCACCAAAAGATGACACATTCATGCTTTAATAGAAAAATAAGTTCGGGGACATTTTACGGGGACAAATTGAGGAGAAAAAGGTTGTCCTAACTTTTGTTCAGCAGATGTGGATGCCCTGCTGCAGACTTAAGTAAAGAAGAGAGGTGAACACAGAAAAAGAGCCTCATTCTCTTCACTTATGTAACCATTAAACTCACGTTGGCTTTTGATTGTGAGAAATAAGACGAGAAACAGAGAGTTGTAGAAGAGGGGAAAGAGAGGGAGAATGTTGTTGTCCTGTATTCAGGGCCATCACTCATCACACATCCCCTCCATCACCCCCTGCCTTCCACACTGAAAAAACAAAACAGTGTCCTGACATCGCGGTGGAGGGGAGCTGAGGGGAGGGCAGGGAGGGTGGGAGGAAAATTAGGAAACCAGATGTGAAGCATTAAAACATACTGACATGCTGAGGGCCTTCCTCTGCCACACTCACACATTGAGCCCACTAACTCATACAGCAGGCCCCGATGCCTGCACGTATGCATGTCACACGCTGGCTGTACAAACCACACACACATTCGATGCGTGATTTCACAGGAAAATACACAAAGACAAATACCGACTAGCAAGCAACCATGTGTGCATAATCAATCAAGCTAAATTATACACATTGGCAAAAAGGATTCCTCAAAAACAAATGTCTAACACTCATTAGCTCGTACGTAGCTTACATTGCAAGCTTAATTATTTATAAAAACATGTACGTAACGGGATGAAAACATAATGCTCATGGCTATGTGCTAGGAATGGATAAACCACTGTTGACCTAAGAATATTTCACGGCAAGGCACAAATCTACAGATGGGTCATCACGCATCAGTGTATGGATATGCATCCAATTAGTACATGTACGCAGGCCAAGGAACGGCTGGGGGGAGGGATGGAGGTGTTTTGTTTTCCTCCATGGGGAGAGC